CGATCTTAATCAAAGTTTCATTTAAAATTCATTTTCTTGCACGTCCCACTTTTTTAGTATTCCACTGACAGTTGTTTTAACAGGAACAAAATTAAATTGTATTTTAACATAAGGGCTAATAAAGTCATGCAATTTGTTAAACAACTCTATAAATTATGGTTTGTTTAGAACTTTATGTTACTGTTTAAAAGGAGTTTCTTATATATAGATATAGGCTTAGTTGGTTGCATTTTAATTTTGTTTTGAAGCCTAAATATTTCAGCTCTAACTTCTTTATTTCTAAATAACAGTTAGTAATTAAAGCATAAAGTAGTAAAATTAAAAAGACCATTTGAGTCAAAATAATTGAAATTTATTGAATATTATTTTCAGTATTTGTGAAAAACTGACTTTTTGATGCTAAAGTAACAAGATCGTCTGTCAATATTTCTGAAGAAAAAACAGGAAGAACTTTTTTAAGAATTACAAGCGCATATTAATACAAAAGAATCATATGGTAAATCATCACTCAATTTTAGAAGACGAACTTTTGATGAAATGAATGATGAATTCAAGTAAACTGATTGGTCAAATCTGCTCCACAATAAAAATACCAATTGATGTTATGAGATATTTGTTAAAAAATATCAAGAGCTATCCAAGAAATATATACCAAAATGTTATAATACTAAAAATTAACACCGTCGATTGACAAATTTACATAAGCAGAAATTAGAGAGAAAACAAATTTATGAAAGAAATTAATATTGAATAGTTTTAAGTCATCAGGTTTATCAAACATTACAAACAACAGTGCAAATTAGTCGAAAAAATTGTTCAGCGAAACCGGATCGAATACGAGAAGGAGATTGTTGAAAAGTCAATATACAATCCTAAAGTTTTCTTTGTGAACGCAAACAACAAAATTAAATTAGGCATAACGTCAATTTTCGATGAATTTAGCTATCTTCATACAAGTAGAGAAGCAGTTTTATTTATTTATGCAGTTGCATAAATAAAAATTTGAATTCTGTTTTTGTTCATGAAGATAAAGATAATATTCCAATTGTTACAACAAAAACTGATAAGACTATACAACAAGATGTAGTCAATGTGATCACTCGTGTCTCAATTGAAAAGAAATTAGAACAATTAGATATCAAAAAATCTGTTGGTGAAGATGGAATTAGTCCATATGTAATGAACAAATGTCATAGCACCATTTGCGAACCATTAATACTAATGCTAAAAAAATATCTTAAAGTAAAATAGGTTTCTGAGTTATGGAAGTTGGTAAATGTCACTCCTTTGTGTAAAAAAGGAGAAAAAATGCCTAAATGCCTAAAATTATAAACCTAATGCCTAAAATTATAAACCAATTTCATTAACATCAATACCATTTAATTTTTTGGAATCAATCATTAGAGACGAAATCATGAACTATTTATTGACGAATGGTTTACTAAATGAAAATCAACACAGATTTAGAAAAAATAAAAGCTGCTTAACTAACTGATTGGAAATCTAAAATATCCTCACAGACGCTTTAGAAAATAATTGTTTGATATGCTAGATATGCTTAAAATAGATATGCTTTATCTGAATTTGGCTAAAGCATTTGATAAAGTACCACATTCACGTTTAGTCCAAAAATTAAAATTTTATATTTTATACATGGGATTATAGACAACTATCTAAAATAGATAAAAGAGTTCTTAAGCAATAGGAAGCAGTGAGTTGTTCTTGGGGACCGTGTATCAAATTCGTTACCAGTTATCAGGGGTGTACCACAAGGATCAGTTCTGGGACCGTTTCTATTTCTGTTATTCATAAATGATCTACCGGATTATGTGAATAACAACATTAAACTTTACGCCGATGATAGCAAAGTTATTAACATAATAAGCAAATCATGTGACGCAAAGAAACTTAAATTAGACATAGACAATATCATGACATGGTCATCTACTTAGCATATAGAATTTAATTATGGCAAATGCAAGATTATGCATATTGAAAGAAAAAATCCTAATCGTCTGTTCATAATGCATGATATTGACACTAATTTAAATCACAGCATATCAATTACTGAAACTGAAAGAGATTTGGGTATAATGATACAATCTGATTTAAAATAGAAAACTCAAGTTGATACAGTGGTTAGCAGAGCAAACTCAGTGCTATGTATATAGTGCTATGTGCTTGGTATAATAAGAAAAACATTCAAATACGTCGACACACATATGGTAAAACAGTTAAATGTAACAATCGTTCGGCCACACCTTGAATTGGCGATTCAAACTTGGTGTCCATATTTAAGACAAGACATCGATAAAATTGAAAAATCCAAATAAGAGCCATAAAGTTAGAGCCACCATTGAAAAAAATACCATATGAAAAAAGATTAGATATTATGCAATTAACAACTCTAGAAGAACGACGAATACGTGGCGATCTAATCCATCAATACAAAATTAATTATGGTTTTGATAAAGTAAATTGGGTTTCAAACTACATTTATACCACGTCGCAAGTTGGCCCCATCTGAGGCAACATAAATTCAAATTAAAAAAACTATTCTGCAAGAATACTATCAGATCAAATTTTTTCTCTAATCGTATAGTCAATATATGGAATAATCTACTGAGTGACATAATAGAAGCTGATTCAATAAATCAGTTCAAAAACAAACTAGATAAATCAAATATTTGCAAAGACATTTTATTACAAAATTGTATTTAAGATAATTTGGTTTAGGATTCAGGAATTGTGCAAAGCTCATACAGTGCAATATCAACTGTTATTGCGCTCCAAAACTGTTAACACCAGTTTTTACAGCTACCTTTTATTATTATTATTGTTATTATTATTACTATTATTATTATTATTTTTATAATTATTATGCATTACCGATGAGTTTTCGCTAATGTTTATTTGGATTTCAGTTTTGAAAGTAGTGCTCTTTAAACTGTTTTCTTTAAACAAATTAGCACTTATTTTATTAACTTCTGTAATCACAGATGCAGTTTTACAAGTAGAGGAGGATAAAGTGGCTGTTTTTGTTAAAAATGAATTAGAAATTATGTTGCTATTTTGTTTAATTATTGGTCATTAACAATTAGATAAAACAGAAGGAACTAATTGACTTATTTTATTTAATGCATTGTATCCCAATAGTTCTGTAGGATATTCATATTTTTCATTAATAAAATGTTCTGAACAAACTCTACTGTACTAAGTAGCTTTCCATTGAGATTTGTTAGAATTTATCCAATATATAAAATTTTCCAAATGGATCGACGCTCAAGTTTTTTTTTTTTTTCAGTAGGAAAAGGAATAAGTTTAAATGGTTCAGAACAGCAGCAATTAGGATCTTCTCTTGAACATTTATAAATTTCACAAATAGCTCTTTTCCACTTTTTAAAATTGGTTGAGTGATTGGAACAACCAATGACAACACAAGAAAGTGATGTAGCCATATTAGGCAAATAATTATACTAATATAAGCAAATACGATTGTTACTTCTTAGGTTGTTTGTTTATTTAATTTATTCTATATCTAATTTTTGGTGTAAAATACTCAGGAAAGATTCATGTTTCTTATTATTACGGAATTAAATAAAATTCGAATATTGTCTATTCGCGCTTCCTAAGCACATTTTTTATCCCCTTCAAAATAAGTAAGAAAATACCTTTAGCAGAGTTTATTGAAAGTATCAAAAAAGAAAAATTTGTCAATATTTTGCAACAAAAATGATTAATGACACTTAAAAATCTTTTTCAATGTGGTCAAAGAATTGTTGTGCAAAAGTATGAGCGTGGTCTAGTAAGATTTACTTAAGACTTTTATTATTGTTTACACAGAACAGATTATCCCTTGCATCTTTTAAATACTGTATAAATAAATTTAAACGATCAAGGCTCATCGTAGAGATTGTATAGTCTGAATTGATGTCAGCCATATACCAGATGCAGAAAATTATTCTAGATTGCTGTTTCAGACCTTGAAACTTCTCTGTAATTTGATGAATTAAGGTAACAAAGTAAATGTTTTTGAATTTTTTATTAAATGTTTTCAATTTTTTATTCGACATAGTGATATTTTTTTTGTCATTTGAAGATGACTCTTAAACGAGATACGCTGGATAAACTGACCCGTATCCCCCACCCTCTATTCACTCTTGTATGTATACAAGAGTGAATAAATGTATATGCGTAATGTATATATATATATATATATATATATATATATATATATATATATATATATATATATATATATATAAATATATATATATATATATATATATATATATATATATATATATATATATATATATATATATATATATATATATATATATATATATATATATATATATATATATATATATATATATATATATATATATATATATATATATATATACAGGCCTTGTGATGAATAAAAACTGTGCGACGCATAAGCACGACGTGATTTTTGAAGTCATTAAATTCTTTTTATTTGCTTTTAATATTTATCGACATTAACTGCACCAATTTACTTTATTACGGCAAAACTACTTTAAATCATTAATGCAGAACTGTTATTATTTAAAAATATTTTGGAGTGATTTGTTTTTTAAAATGTAAAAACAATAGTTTTTTTTTTCGACGTTTAACGCATTATGAAGATCCAATCTTTCATAAGGGCATTTATATGTCATTATGAAGATCCGTCCTTTCCACACAAGTTTTGAAAAATGGATGTAAAATTTACACTAATATATATATATATATATATATTATATATATATATATATATATATATATATATATATATATATATATATATATATATATATATATATATATATAAATATGTATTACATATCATAAACAATAATAAAAGTATGTTGTATGTATTTGTATATATAAATATATATATTATATATCTACAATTATATACTTCATACTTTTATTTTTGTTTATTAGTATTAGTTATTTAGGACATTACTTAAATAGTGCTCTGATATAAAATTTTAGTTTCAAGTTAATTTTTTTTTACCATAGTTAAATTTGGTGGCATTGGTTTAGAAGGCTACCCATATTTTTCCCCAACCTGCAGCTTATTAGGGAACAGCAATACTGAGGTGCATAACCCTGTTAGATCTGAAAGCTATAACATTCTTGAAAAAGAATTTGTAAATCAAGTTACCCCAATTGTGTCTTATCATGTGGGAAATAAAGCAGATTCCACTCATCATGTGGACATTGAAGTTGAATCAACTTCTCCTTCAAACATATCAAAAAACAAGGAAAATGAAAAGCAATCTTTCAGTCTATATAACAAACCTGAATCACTTAACAATGAAACAGATAATTCATCTGTTTCATCTGATGATGAATCAACAAATCAAGGTAAAGCTATGCTATATATTTTATTCTTCAAATTAAGACTTGTTTTAGTGATATAGTTGAAATGATAAACATAATTTTTTTGATTATTTTATTTTGACAGAAAATGACAATGACAATGAATGGGACAATGTTGAAGACGATGAGCAGAATTGTGGTTAGTATGTAACATTGTTAATTATTACCTCAACTTTTATTACCTGCCTTTTTTTAAATGGATTTTTAATAATTACCAAAGAACACATTGTTTAAATGAATTTAAATTAAAATTTTTTTTTTCTAGGTATATTTATATTAGTATAGTTTTATATGTTTTGGACTACACAAGAAGTTTTCCCCTGTTGGCTGACAATGTCTAAACTTTGTGTAAACTTATCTTATATGTACTGTATTGTAATTATACTATAAATGCGTTTCTGTATTGCGTAATATTTTGTCAAACTAAGTTTGCTCTCAAATAGTATCGGATATGAATGTAAAAAGTAAAAGGTATAAATATTAAAATGTAAGCTTTTGTATTTTTAGATTTTTTTTGAAAAAGTCACAAAAATAAGAGATCGAAGCATTTGTTCAATATCTGATAATCAGGTCAGAGAGTCCTTTAAAAAATAGCACAAAAAAAGCAGCATTGAAAATCGACCTTTAGGGCGTCCAAAGCTGTTAAGACAGGAGGATTTTCCTGTTGAGATAAGCAACTTTCAATATCGTATGCTATATCTAATCACCGATACTAGAAATAAAATAAAAGAATTAAATAATAAAATTATGTTGATGCAGAAGTACATATCTACTATAAATGCAGATGATGCTGATTTAATAAATAAAGCAGAAACGGTAATTGAGTTAAAGGATCTTGAAGGACATTTACAAAATACTGACTTCGCAAGGAAAGTTCTTAATTCTCTAGAAACAATGTCACTTTCTTGTAGGTCTGCAAAAGAACATGTTCGAACTATTATTAATTCTGTAATGTCATTTGCCGTTACAAGAAAAAGTAAACGTTCTATATGGCAATAATGTTCCAAAAAAGAATTATGTCGACCATATATCTATGTCACGTGAGTTGCCCTTACTCTTATCATGTAATGTGACTGCCGTTGTTAAAAAATTTCCAACAATGTCTGAAAAAATTGTGAAGATGGAAATTTCAGAGTACTTAAAAAATTCAAAAAAAAGATATAGAGTGCATTTAGATTGATAAAACTTTATTCTCGTATTTAGAAAGCTGTCTTATTTTGTTATTATTGTTTAGTTTAAATTAAATTACAGTCTGCTTTTAGGTTTGAATAAATTTACTTGCTGAGCCTAACATTCATCTTATTTTAAAAGTCAATAAAAAAACCATGAAAGTAATTTGTTGTCTTAATATTAAGATTCTTATTGTTATTGTGTTTTATAGGTAGATTTTGTATGTTTTAAAAGTGCATAAACAATTTTAGGTAAATATGTGCTGGAGTTATGTTATATTTATTACATCTGTTATGTTATATTTTTTACATATGTTAAAATATGTTGCTATTTTACTAGTGTTTATTTTTAACAGATTTTTACAATACATGTTTTAATGTCAGCAAAAAAGTTTAGGGGTGGTTTTTTACACATCATTTTCATGGGAAATTTTTATAAGTAAACTGCCAAAAAGATTGTTAAAAGTTAAGTTTGCGTGAACTAAACTAGTAGAACGTCTTCTCGTACTAGTAGTTTTTTTCACGTGAAGATAACTGCTAAAACACCCAAAAAATATTATATGGTTATTAAATTTAGCGCCTTTGCATTTACCTTCCTGTACAGGAACAAGTCAACCCTGTTTCACAATGAAAATACATTACATTGTATATATGTATTATATAGGCACTCTATATGAGCAAGTAGCTTTCTAGCTAAGTTTTGGAAAGGTTGGCGTATTTGATTAATGCCAAAAGCTCACTAAAATGGCTTGATGTTATTTACTTAATTAATACTGTATGATTAGCCAGCCATCTTTTTATTATAAGTTTATTGTAAGGTTACAAATATGATATGTATGTAGATATTAAAATATATAAAGCTGTTTTATTTTTGAAAGAATACTATTGTCTTTTTTTTTGTTAAAACAATTTATGTAAAATGTTTGTTATAATTAGTAAAGTAAACAATTTAATAATAATAAAAATAATTTATCATAAGAAAAATACTAAAAGTTGACAGATTATAGCAAGAATTGGCTACCAAACTATCTGGTATTTTTATTCGTTATTTTTATGTTACATTAGTTTTTTAAATGGGCCATTTTTTACGGTCATGTGTAGTTGTACCTTCAATTGGTTTATAACAGCCTTAAGCTGAACTATTGCACCGATTTAAACAAAAGTCCTAATGCCACCCCCTAGTAAGGTACTATTTTTTTTATTCAAATTATATTTTTAAGAGAACCAACAATAAAGGATCTATGATTTCTGTTTATTAATTTGAATGATATACTTTGATATGATATAATGATATACTTTGTAAAATTGATCAGAGTGCTGCAAATGTTTACAATGTTTACAATGTTACAAATTTTTATGCAAATGTTTTTTTTTTTGTTATGAAATATATTCAATACAATCAAAATAACTTTTTCAATTTTTTTTTTAGATATCTTTGTTGATATATTATGCAAGTCGTAAAAGTGTAAGATCTTTATCATTCTGTTTTTTATTTTTACATTTTCGTTGTATATGTTGCTATTTTTAATATAATTTTTTTTATTAGTTTTATAATAAATATTTGTTTATTCAGAAAGGATTTGCCTGCAAATTAGGAAAAAATAGACATAGCAATGTAAATTTCAGCAGTTTTCCCCCGTCTTTAATATCGAAGTTAAATTAACGGAATCAGGCTACGTAAGTGTTTAGGTTTTTATTAGCTTTTTTTTATTAAAATAAAAAATTTATAAGTTTTCTGTAAAATAAATTATTTTTAATAAGTTTTAATTAATAGTTATATGTTAGGATTTGAAAATGGAACCATGGAAAATGGAAAGTTAGGTATGTTTTATTATTAATTTGTTCAATTATTTAGTTAATAATATTTTTAATGATTATTACTACTATTATTTGGCCACATCACTGAGAACTTGTTGGTTTAGAGAATTGTGAAGTGGAACGTATGCTCCGATAGTATCGTCCAAAATATCTGAACCAAGCCGAGTTGCTTGACATGCCCTAACCACTAAAGCAAATGCAGTTCTTATTTTAAAACGATATCCATGGTGTTTAAAATATAAAAAAAACTACAAGTTATTTCTTAAAATGTTTAACAGTTTTGTATGTTTAACAGTTTTACAACAATATGTCAAATAAAATTTATTAAATGCTGCATATTTTATTTGTGTGGATTTGTTATTAATAAAGGTTCAATGTTAGATAATCTATATTTAGTTGCTTTTTGAATGGTATTATATGAAATACACTTATATTTGGAAAAAAAGTTGTTGTTTTTAAACAGTAGACCTGTATAAACCAATAACAGGTAAATAGTCAGAAGTTTTTACTTGTAAAAATAACTCCTAAATAAACTTTAAAATTAGTTTAATTAGAAATGAACTTTAAAACAAGTTTTTTTATAAAATTTTCAACATAAACTTTTAAAGTTTATTTCTAATTAAATTAATTTTTAAGTTTATTTAGGAGTTATTGTTACCAGCAAAAGCTTGTGATTTTTACGTGTTTATACATGTCTTTAAACTTTATAAAAAATCCTTTTTGCACCATGAATAACTCGAAAATTACACGTTAAAATTAGGTTTTGAATACTAGTTTTAACTCATTTTAAGACGTTGCATTCACGCTTTAAAACTAGTATTATTCTCGTGAAAAATACCTTCCAATAAAACGAGGTGAAAGTAGTTTCTGAGACGTGAATTTTACTCAAAAAATTTTGAAATAATTTGGGTTATTATCACGCGTTTTCGTATCCCGTACTTAATGTCAAATTCACGTTCCCGCGACACGAGAAGTTCGCGTGAAAAAAAGTAAATTTTGCCGACTAGGAAGAATGGCTGAAGCAAAAATAATTGAAGTTAGTAATCCAATTTTTGATAACTTAAAAACTTTTCTTTCTTGGGGGAAAGAATCAGTGCTATGAAAGATTACATTTGAATAAAATTGATATACATAAAATTACATAGATAAAAATATATTTCATAGATAAAATTACATTACATAGATAAAAATAAATTACATGCATTAAAATACATTACATACATAAAAAATACATCCCTTATATATATAAAATAAGAATATACTAATAAAATGTATAATATATTTACAAAACGTTGACAAGTTGAAAAATATAATTTTAAAACATTTATTATTGTAAATAAATGTTGGAAATAAAATAATTGTTCGTTTGATAGTATATTCTTAAAATAATATATGCTAGAAATCTCACGAAAACGTTACAAAATTCAAATAATACATTTTTTAAAAATATTTCAACAAAATACTCAGGACATTCGGTTGGTATTTTTTATATATTCTTGAGATTTCGATTAGTATTTTTTGAACCAATAGAATTAGTTGTTCCTAGATTTGGCGGGTTTTTTGTGATCGCGAATATTCTTTTTGTATTTTTCCGCACTAAGATGTTTGAGAACATTCAGGTTAATGAATGTTTCCATGTAAGTCCGTAAAACAAAATATCTCAAAATTTACAATAAAATAAACTTATTATTTTGCGGACAAACAAAGAACCATACATAAACTTGAATGTTCTCAAAACAACTAAAAAATTTGGCCGGTTTTTCGCAACTAAATATTATTTCCGTGGTCAGTTATCAAGTGCGATCGCACCCACTTCCCGACCTAGCCTGCATATATATATATATATATATATATATATATATATATATATATATATATATATATATATATATATATATATATATATATATATATATATATATATATATATATATATATTAGGGCTGTTCAGTATGCTAATTTGTTTTCAGAACATAGCTAATTAAAGTTTTTCCCATTCAACTATCATATTGTGGTTCAAAAATATTTTTTACTAAAATTTATTATTTGCCCTAAAGGTCCCTCAAAGCCACTAAACATTTGACAGGTCTCTAATATTATTAGAAAAAAAATTATTTAAAAATATGTCAATTTGGTACTCAAAAGAAGCAAAATTTTAAAAATGAAATTCATTTTTTATGAAAAACAACTTAAAAAAACTTGTTATTAAAAATGTTGTGAATATTACCTTTTTTCACTTTTCGTTTAAAAACTATAGTTTTTATTCAAAAAAACCTAATATTGTTTTTTTTATAAAAAATACTTTTTGTTTTTGAAATTTTTAATTGATTTTGCTTCTTTTGAGTACCAAGTTGACATATTTTTAAATAATTTTTTTTTCAATAATGTTAGGGACCTGTCAAATCTTTAGGGGCTTTAAGGGACCTTCAGGGCAAATAATAAAATTTAGTAATAAATATTTTTGAACCACAATATGATAGTAGAATGGGAAATACTTCAATTAGCTATGTTTTGAAAACAAATTAGCATACTGAACAGCCCTAATATATACATATATATATATATATATATATATATATATATATATATATATATATATATATATATATATATATATATATATATATATATATATATATTTATATATATATATATATATATATATATATATATATATATATATATATATATATATATATATATATATATATATATATATATATATATTATATTGTTTATATATATATATATATATATATAAATTATACATATAAATATGTATATATATACCCAGTTAACCATCACAGCTGGGTCCCAGCTAGGACCCATCTGGGTACCCCACATGGGTCCCATCGTGATTTTGCAAATGGGATCCAACTGGGTTCCATCTGGGAATAGTATGTGTTTTGGAAGGGAAATCCCATATTGAACCCAGATATTTTTTGCACTTAGCGCGCGCAATTAGAGTTTGTTTTTCGCATATTCGAGATTCATACACGATCTCGAATCGGCAAATTAATAATGCGACTTTTTTTTAAATAAAAAGTGTCTCATTTTTTATTTAAAATCAAATAGTAAAGGCTATTTATACTATTTATATTAAATTCGTCAGGGCAATAAAATGTATTTGGCGAATAAATATTTGGTTTGACATTTTTATGAATTAGTTTTAAAAAACAGATTTGAATTTTATAATACTTTTAAGCAATAAGCAATTATTATACAATAATTTAAACAAAAACTGTTCGACAATAGTTCGACAATATTCTGCCACAGTCTTGCATATAACTAGCAAATAATAATATTATAGTAATAATCAGCGATCATCCGGGTCTTTTTTTGAAAATCCGGATAATATAGTTTATGTAAATTATCCGGAAAAATCCGGAACATATTTTCCCATACTATTCTCCTAATTTTGCTCTCAGCTGGTAGGCTTCAGAATTTTTATAGACATTTTTGACACTTTTTTTATGGCTGATCACTGATAACGAAAAATAAATATATATATAACATTAAAACAAATGTTATATAAACTTGAATGTATGAGAAAACATTTTGGATATCCGGAAGAACTAAATTTTGAGAAAAATATTTCCGGAAATCCGGAATTATCCGGAAAAAGAAATTCCCTGATTAATATAATCTTTTTAAAATGTTAAAATACAGTATTAATATTATATAACAATAATATTATTAAGCACATACCATGAAGAGTGCCATATCTTGCATATAAGTAACAAACACTAGGCAATATTAATATTAATAATATTATAATATAATATAAATGTAATGTTAAAGTATAGTAATATTAATATAATATAATAATATTATTATTAGGCACAAACCATGAAGAGTACCATATCTTGCATGTAACTAACAAACACTAGACAATAATAATATTAAAATAATAATATAATATAAATATAATGTTAAAACATTATAATAATAATATATTATTAAGCACATACCATGTAGAGTCCCATGCCAATCCCAGCAATCGCAGATTTTATATTTATATATTAACAACAATATTTTAACACCATATGAGACCCATGTGTTACCCAGATCGAATCCCAACCGCAACCCAGTCCCAGTTACCCAGCTATATCCCAGCTGTCATGGTTAACTGTATATTATAGATTAAAGACAGATTGAAATGTAAAACAGATGAAATGCCTGTGGAAAAACCACGTCTTTTTTATAAAAGTGTTTCCTTTCTTATTTCTTCAAAATTTATCGAAAACGATAAAACTGTTCTTGATAAAAAATACACGCTACAAATATAACATTCATGGAACGCAGAACCAATCCAACTTTTAACTGAACTGAATTTTCAGAAAATATGCAAAAACATGCTATGATTAACTGAGATTTATAATGTTGGATAAATTTAAAAATTACATCAAAATAATTTTAAACGTCTTTTAATCTTTTTTTTCTTCCTCGACGATCACTACGACGATCCCGTGAATTGGTAAACCACTTTGATAGTTCTGCTTCAATTTGCTTTTTTTTTGCATCTAGAGTAGTTGCATTAACTTTCACGCTACCTAGAAAGAATAACTTTATTTTAGACATTAATAGCTGGAAGTACACATGATATAAATGAATTACTAAATAAGTTTAGATAACAAAATAAAACTAATTCATGATTGGTTGGTTTAAAAGAATCAATGTTAGCCCACCAAAAAATTATAGATCTCTGCTCACAAATTGGAATCATTTTGATTTTGACGATTTCATGGAAAAATCAAAACAAATGAAATTTGAAAAGCTAGATTTTACACACAAACTTAAGATGTGCGCAAAAGGTAAGCTTTTTTAAAGAAGTTGTAAAAGAAAGTATAATGAGGCCCTATATATATATATATATATATATATATATATATATATATATATATATATATATATATATATATATATATATATATATATATATATATATATATATATATATATATATATATATATATATATATATATATATATATATATATATATATATATATATATATATATATATATATATATATATTTACATATACATATATAGACTCACTGAACAGAACTTCACATATATTCACTGTTTTAAAAAGGTTGCTTTTGATTTTGTCCAGTAAGATTTAAATTTTTTGAGAGATCGTCGCCAAGAAGAAATTTCATTGATTGTTTTATAAAATCGGAAAGATCAACTCCACCTATATCAGCTATCACTTTAATCTACACAAAAAGTCTAAAACTAGTTAATAAATAATTAAAAAAATAGTAATATATTTAATGAAAAAATTCTAATAATAAAAAAAATGTTGTATAACAGTAATATACTTAATTAAAAAAAGTATATTTTTTGTAAACATATTTTACTTACGATACATTTCTTCACTAGAGGATCTACCAACTTCTGATCCATTACTAGTAGGTCCTCGTCTGTT